TATTATTTATAAAAAAAATAATTAAAAAGCTGAAGGTACTCCGGGTTAACACTGACATCAGGACGTCAATCATCTCCTTTGATCATCTCAGTCCCCCGCGTAGACAGAGATAGGTTTCTCTGTCTACGGTCCCTCGTGTATATAATAAAATTGATAAAATCCGTAAAAATAGTTTTAATCTAAGTTTTCATCTCACTTTTGGCAGCTCTTATTCAAAAAGATCAGGAAGGATTTCGAATTTACATATTCAAGTGGGGTCACAATAGAATAGAAGGGAAATTAAATAGTACGTTGTTTTAAAGATCAGTAACAATGTTTTATTATGGAACTGGGAGGAGGGGATCGGTTGTAAACGGGTCGCGAATTCAAAAACATTGAAAAACTCTGCCTAGCCTATCACTGTCCATTGCGGCATATAGGCGTCGTAGGGGGAATTATCGCCATAGTTTCCACGCTTGAAAAACGAGTTGGCAATCTGTTTTTTGTTATTTTGAGTTATTTGTAGGAAAATGCTACTGCCTATTAGCCCATTCAGTTGCTCTCTGTCGTCTCTCACGATATCTACGGGATGATGCAGGTAGTGCTGCCTCTACACGTCAGTTTCAGTAAACTGTCTTCTTTTGGAGATATATTTCAAATTGTGTGGCGCGTTTGGTAATGTCATGATAGCAATAATCAGCCCGGAGAGCGGCCAATACTCTATGTAATTTGATAGTTGCACCTACCTTACCGTCTTATGTATTATTTTGTTATAGGAGATGCAAGGAGCAATAAATAAATAAAAATTAGGCGACAATAAATTTTGCTACAATTACTTCAGATTTACTATTACCTATGGTAACCAGAGGCGCAACAGAAACAAAATATAAGTAACATTTTGCAGTTATCGTTATTGTTAAATGAAGCCTACATTATTTGGTAAAACCATGTTGTATCTATATTATTTGGTAGAGCCATGCTGTATCTATAGACCAGGAAGTACTACACTCTCACAGAAAACCAGCGTAAAATAGCAGCTTCATCATCATCATCAGTCCATCTGATGGTAAATGGTTGCTATGGCCCTAGACATCAACATATATCTTCGATTACGAATCAAAATGCAGATGCGTTGTCACCCGTGAGGACTAGGCTGGAATGCCTCGTTTCCAGTAAAAAGAGGTCTCCGGATCTCTATACTCACCATACGAAACACAGCACCGTTAAGCTAGTATTTTACGCTGGTATTCTGTGAGTCCTTCCCCGGTCGAGCTGACCCATTCGTGCTATAACTATACTACTAATATAACTGCAGCATGGTTTTACCACGTGTCTGATTTTAGACGGCTCCGTGGCACAGTGGCTTAGCAATGAGTTACAGCGCTGAGGGCGCGGGTTCGAATCCCGCACAGAACAAGTAATTGTGCCGGGTCTGGATGTTTGTCCTTGTGAAATTTATGTTTGTAAACTGCCTACGTGATACAGGAGAAAATCCTAGTGTGGAAATAACGTTTAAAAAAATTATCCTGTATCTTCGGCAAAAGAACACTAGAGAGCGCTTATTTCGGTAATAGTGCTGCCTCTTTGTATCGCTTACGATCCCCATTGTAATATTATCTAAATTATCTTTAAAACAAATGACAAAAAAAAGATAGCAGCTGAGTTTTTTCGCTGTTACCTCTCCTGTCAGGAAAACGTTATTTCGATTTGATGACCACTCAAATTAGTAATCTTCAGTTACTAACCCGCCTAACTACTAACAAAGCTTTGCAACTATGGCATAATCCCGCATATGAGGCAATGTATGGCGGAGGCCTATGTTCAGCAGTGAACATTTGTGGGCTGTAATGTGTGGACTAGATGGAGGGAAGTGCTCGTTTGGCGCTCTTTAAAACCTAGAACTTCTCTATGCAATTGTACAATATAATTTTAATTATATTGTACAATTGCATAGAGAAGTTCTAATAAATTGTACAATATAAATTGAGTTTCTAATAGATATTAGATTTCTTTATTGCTATGGATTATATATTTACGATATCTTCTTTTATTGTAAATAAGTTGTAAAGTTATATCAATGAATAATAATAGAATACCAACATTAATTTATTCAATAATATCTTATAAAAAACATCTTTACAAGTACAAAAATAAAACAATGAACATTCTAACGGTAACTATCATATTGCATTTTTAAATGTACATTATTATCAAGGTGTGTATAATCTTTACATAGAATAATAATAAATTACAAAAATATACAGAACAATTTTAAATATAATACTAAACTTTTTATCATATAGGGACACAGATTAAATGAAAACATTCTTATAAAAGTAGTTGCCACTGTGAGTGTGAGGCACAAGATTCCACTCGTTTCTAAGAATTTTTATAGCAGGAAAGAGACACGCTACTCCAACGCAGACTTCACCTGTCCTTTTTTCACCGTACGCCTATGTGTTCTAAGCACAGGGTACACACTAAAGAAGTCTCGCCATACATAAAAGTACTCTGTGGTTCTCACATCTTGTTTCTACTCTCGTATCGCATACAGAAAAGAGTGCAATAAATTGTCAGCCTATGTCTTTACGTACGATTAAAATCTGGGTATATTGACTTTTGTCACGCAAAGGCAGTGCGATTTATCATTAAGGGATTAATAACTATTTACCACGGGTTTGAAGTCAAACATTAGTTTAAAAATAAAAATAAACGTAAGTAGTAAGCAGTAAATCAGTAATAAATATTATGATAAATAATTAAAATTGCAGTTTACAGTATTAATTCGTACTGTACTATTACTATCTATTCTATGTGGTATTAGTGGTGCTAGCGTGGATCGAACTTGGGTTTCTAGCGTACAATGCAATTTAAAACAAAGGTTTAGCGCATGACTTATCTTAATAAAATAATTAAAAAGGTACTTCTCTACTACTAGAAAATAATCATCATCGTCATAAAAAGCATCTATTTTTTAAATAATACATTATTTCCGTCGTTAGTGAGTTTTTCTCCAAAGACAAACATGTTTGGTGTTATGGTAATACACACGCTATCAAACGATAAATAAATTATTACTAAATCACTTAAATAATTTATATTGTTACTAGGTATATGATTTTTTAAATGAAAAGGAATTATTTTTAATTTACGTTCTAATAATGTAAATTGTTTTTATTTTTAATGTAAATCTAAAACCTGAATAGGGCAACATCATCTTCGGTCAATCAATATTCGGAGAAAATGAAGTACATATTCAGAAATAAAAGTCAAAGTTAATCATAATCAGGTAAGATCACAATAAAATTCAGAGAAGATATAATTGGAAATATAGTTATAGCTAAAATAAATTAAAAACAATAAATAGTGACACGTTGTATATAAGTCTTAGAAATAAACATTATCAATAAAATAAAGGTCTAGGTTAGTTATTTGCTTATAATATCTGGGTTTGTCCCTGTGGTATTTCTAATTGATCATATAGGTATGACTAAATGATTGTAACTAAAGCTTGTCGTCTACACAACCTAAAATATTGTTTAAAATTTTTTCTTTGTTTAAATTAAATGTGACAGATCTAAAAATGGCACTAAACTAGTCGACGAACAATAATATAATTAAAAAATAATAACTATATTATTAACATTTCTAATATTCATTTTAAAACTCCTGGTAAGCTTGACTTAGATGGTGTTTGTGTTAGAAGTGGTTCACGACATTAGTCGAATGGTATATTATCCGGCCCGCACCCTGCCATTACGCTACTGTCGCTTTAATATTATTAAAAAAAACCCATTTAATAAATTACGCTAGTGTCGTTTTAATATTATTAAAAAAACCATTGAATAAATTACGCTACTGTCGCTTTAATATTATTAAAAAAAACCATTGAATAAATTACGCTACTGTCGTTTTAATATTATTAAAAAAACCATTGAATAAATTACGCTACTGTCGCTTTAATATTATTAAAAAAACCATTGAATAAATTACGCTACTGTCGTTTTAATATTATTAGAAATAACCATTCAATAAATTACGCTACTGTCGCTTTAATATTATTACAAACAACAATTGAATAAATTACACTACTGTTTGCTTTAATATTATCTATTATATTAAAGCGACAGTATACGTCTACAAGCTAAACAAATTGCGCGTCGTCTATAATTAGACCAAAAAAGAACAAAGACGGGGCGCGTATATTTTAAGTGACAGAAAAACCAATTCAAAACCATAATCAACATTTTGTAAGGACACGCACTCACGTACAAATATGCACCTAAAATTATTTGTAAGTAACATCATAGTTTTAAGTGCTTAATTGTGGGTCTAGTAAAGAATATTTACGGATTGATGAAGAAAGAAAAAAGAAAGATGTGTGCATGTGAGCGTATCAAGAAGTTAAGCATGGTTTCAGCTGATTTGAGTATGCAGCGCTCCATCTTTCATTTTTTGTTGGTCTGAGGTAAACAATAAATAGGTTAAAATTATTTTAAAAAAATTGGCTAATTTACTTCAAGAAACATCTCGTTTGCTTTACTATTGACAAATAATGTTTAACTAATTTTATTAAAAAAATTTATTATAAAATTTTTTTACAAATGTATTAAATTAACCAATTAATTCTACTATAATGCCTTTAAATAAGAGTAGAATTCCTTAACATTTTCTTAACCGATTGACTGGCTGTAATGAATAATTGAAAAACTTTGAAACAGTTTACATTAAATTGGATTGTAAGTGACTTATCAAACAGAGTTTTTACATTAAAATTGCGGAAACCGAAGCCGAATTCTGTATGATTTCAAAGGAAGTTGCGCTAAAAGATCTCCTTGCGGAAGTTAAAGTCAAATACGGTATGATTTCAAAGGTAGCGGTGCTAAAAGACGTGGCAGAATTAAAAGGCTAATTCAGTACGATTTCAAAGGTAGTGGTGCTAAAAGTGCGGAATTCGGTACGATTTCAAAGGTAGCGGTGCTAAAAGTGCGGAATTCGGTACGATTTCAAAGGTAGCGGTGTTAAAAGACCTCCTTGCGGAAGTCAAAGGCGAAGAGCGCGCACTTGCGGCGTAGCACTCGTGCCAGTTGCGGCGGCCCGCAGTAGAACACGGTCACCTTGCCGTGGCGCTGTTGCTGCAGCCGCTGGAACACCTTGTCCCAGTTGGGCCGTCCCGCGTTCGTACGCGTCTTCAACCCTGTGATTAGGTCCCGCTTCTCCTGCAACCGCGTTATCATTTTCAACACCATTTATTAATATTTATTGTTAAAATAATTACTTTTTAGATTTTGTACGTGGTAAAGCCACGCTGCAGCTACATTATGGTTGTAACATGTATGGGTCGGTTCGGTCGGGTTAGTTGGTAGTTAGGACCACGCTCTCATAGATTATCGGCTTAAAATATCGTTTCGTATGGTGAGTGTAGAGGACGGTAGACTTTTTACTGGAAGCGAGGCATTCTATTTTAGACCTCAGTGGTGAAAAACTGGCAAAGTATCTGCATTTCGATTTTTAAGCGAGGCTAAATGTATGTAGATGTATATGGGTCACAATATCTTCTTAGAATTAGGTGGACTGTTTCCCCGTTTATCACCCTTACTCTTTAAAAAAAGCATGGTTCACTTTATAAGTACAAACCACAGGCCGCACGTGGAAAATTATTTGACGTGAATACGTTTTTAATTTTGCTGCGATAGTGAGAGGCAACTCAGAAAAGTGATGATAACAAATCGGGGGATACAGCCACAGCATCTACTTACCATCAGGTGGACTATGTGCCCGTTTATCACCGTTATTCTAAAAAAAATATCATAGTCCACTTTATAAATAAAAACCAAAGGCCGCACGTGGAAAATTATATGACGTGAATACGACTTTAATTTTGCTGCCATGTGAGAGGCAATTCAGAAACCGACTGTAACAAAATCATCTATATCCAAAATTTAATTACACCACTCGATAGCTAAAGGATCAAAGAATTCGTTACGTTGACGATTGTAACGCATTGCACGCGGTGGAGGGAGCGCCGTCATATTGAGTTCGTTTCGTATCGTACATGTATTGACCTTGATTTATATAATATTACACTAGATCAGTAATAACCGCGCCAAAGTGTTGCCACTGGACATATGGCCACAGCCATATGCCTAGCTAACATCAGTTCAGTGTTCAATGTGACGCCGACAGAGTTGAACTGCGACAAAAAATGGCTAAATGCGTAGTGAAAGAATGCTATTCAAGGTCACAAAAACGTAAAAAATCAAGTGGAATCACTTTCAATACATAATTTTTAGTTCTTGTTTTCATATAAACGTAAAAAACCTCAAAACCTAATTAAATAAAATTATCAAATATTGTCATTTAGGTTCAATGTTGCCACATTTGTGATTATCCTACATTAATGGGAGACTATATAACTAATGGAGTAAGTTAATTTGTTATGTCTGATTTTAAATATTTTGGAAATTATAATAAAAACTACATTTTAACTTTCATAGAAAATAATTAATTATTTTTATTTTAGTTTATTCATGAATTATCTATTAAATATATTTTATTGCCTATTTTATATTAATAATTTTATACTAATTATAATTTCATATAAATTTTATATTAATTATATTTTATTACCTATTTTATATTGTTTGATTTATTAGTACAATAAAAATACTTATAAAAATATCTTTTATTTCATCATTATGTTTACTTCTATTCATCTGATAAGCTTTGTATCCTTTTTTCTAAGGGGACTAATAAAGTTTTTAAAATAAAATATACTTTTTTTAATATAAAAACAATTAACTGCAGCTTAATAAAACTCATTTTTATTGCGTATTTTAGGTAAAATTTCATATAGTAAGCCACACCAACCCGCCATTGCATGTTTGTGTGTCTATCTTTATCTAATCTTAGTGACGATATTGTTTTCGCAACTTGTGTAAGTGAGATAGATATATGTTTATTTAAAATTGTTATTAGTTTCAAAGCTACGTCGTCGTGTTTGGATAGTGGTTACACGCGCGGTAATGTGGTTTGCTCCTCTAGTGATGAAGCCACGAAGGCATTTGAAGCTTGTAAAATTGCGATCCAAAATGCAGCTTTACTCGCTCACCCATCACACGAAGCAACCCTTGCTATCTTCAGCGACGCATCCGATCTCTCAGCAGGAGCAGTTCTCCAACAATACAGCAATGGGAAATGGCAACCACTTGGATATTTTTCGAAGAAGTTCTCCGATACTCAACGTAACTACAGTACATTCGACCGAGAGCTACTCGCTATTTACATGGCTATCAAGCACTTCAGAAAAACGTTCGAGGGTCGAAACCTGATCGTTTTTACCGACCACAAACCATTAACATATGTACTTCCAAAGAAACCATCACTATCGGAAACACCACGAAGAGCAAGACAACTTATTTTCATAAGTGAATTCACGACCGACATACGTCACATCAGTGGAAAGGACAACATAGTTGCCGACGCACTCAGTCGCGTACCAATCGACAGTGTAACGTGCCCTACATCAATCGACTATCATAAGATCGCCGCAGCACAAGACAGAGATAGTGACAACATAAAACATCTATCGAAGCAAGGTAACTTGTCCATCAAGCAAGTTACAATGCCAATGACGCATCTACCTATATACTGTGAAGCCTCAACGACAACCATGCGACCATACATACCAGAAGAATGTCGTCGCGAAGTCTTCAATGCACTGCACAACATTAGTCATCCAGGTGTTAGAACAACAAGAAAACTCATCACTGAAAAATTCTTTTGGCCTGCAATGCAAGCGGATGTTGGCAACTGGGCGAAGCAATGCATTCAATGCCAAAAATGCAAAGTACAAAGGCATACATCAAGTAGTCTAGCTACATTTCCACCCACGGAGAGATTCGAACACTTGCACGTTGACATCGTTGGACCATTACCTACTTCACCGCAAGGACATCGTTATCTCGTAACAATGATCGACAGAACAACAAGATGGCCAGAAGCAATACCTACCGATGATACTTCAGCCGAATCCGTCGCGAAGATAATTTATGAAAATTGGATTACTCGTTTCGGATCACCTAAAACCATCACAACGGATCAAGGAAGGAATTTCGAAAGCAACCTATTCCTCAAACTTCTTCAAACTATGGGAATACAGAAGACGCGTACAACAGCATACCATCCTCAGTCAAACGGAATAATCGAACGATGGCATCGTACATTAAAGACTGCACTCAAAACTCGTTTATCTCAACATACAAAGTGGATTGATGAGCTACCTACAGTGCTACTCGGACTACGAGCAACACCGCGTGCAGACACTAGTCTTAGCGCCGCTCAGCTAACCTACGGCTGCAGCATAAGGCTGCCGTGTGACTTCTTCAGTTCAGCAGCGTCAAACAAACAAGAAATGGATTACGATTTCGTAACTAAACTTCGAGAATCAATTAACAAAGCCTTATCGTTGAAATGCACCGAAATGCAATCACACAGAAATAATAAATCAGTATTCATTCACCAAGATTTGAAAACATGCAAACAAGTTTTTGTAAGAAACGACGCAATGAAAAAACAATTTCAACCTACCTACGATGGACCGTATAAAGTATTAGAGAGAAATAGCAAGACTTTTAAACTACAAATACCCGGAAGGAAATCTACGATTATATCGATCGACCGACTAAAGCCTGCCTATATTATTAACGAGGATACTGCAGAGGATTCATCATCATCATCAAAACCACCAGCGAGGAAGCTTGAAAATTCATCATCTACATCAACCCAGTTGAAACCTATTTTAAAAACTACGAAATACGGGCGAGTCGTCAAGCCTCCGGTACGCTTTCGCTGGGGGAAGAGTGATGTAGCAGCCGGATTAATCAAACCGAAACGGGAATAAATAATATATACTCCGCTGCTACCATAACGCGGAAGGCGAGAATAAATAAAAAAACATTTTATTTCCTAATTATTCTTGGCTACTGAGATACTGCGGACTGTATATAGATAATTTGACGTTCTTATAAAGAAACAAGAAGCAGCCGCAAATATCATTCAGCGCCACACCGACTTCACACGCCGCTATCGTCACGTATCCGTCGACCAATGGTGAGCCGTTTCTTCAACGCCGCAGTTCGTTTCCTCTTGCTGTTCCGGAGCTGTATTCCACACCGCCGCCGCCCGCCGACTACGCGTGCGCACCGATCTGCATGTCTTATATAGCCCGGTCCAGCGACGTAGCTTCGTGAACAACAAACAAGTCTCACGCCGGGAAACGAAACGTAGATAATTGTATATTTTAAATAGTTTTCATTGGTCATAAAATAAGCAATATAATTGGCTAGGCAAAATATTAATTGTTACCATTGGCAAATCAATAGTGAGCCAGCCATATAAATATAGGCAAGGTTGATGCAAAAGATATTCCATTCCGAATCCCATTCGACAGTACATTCATAAACATAAACAGTAGTTTCATTTCTCCACCTTAAAGAAAACCACTCGGAGTCTGTTAATAGTGGACAGTTCGTCACCACTATTACATGTATAACTCAATATGTATTGAATTAAAGTGAATATACAGTCCAGCTGATGATTAGCTGGGCAATTGTTAACCATGTACGCCTGCAACCGACACCAACAAAAATCCACAGATGCGTTGTGAATTCTCAAGATTACGACGGAATCTCTAACATCCTGTAATTATACTGACTCTCTATTGCACACCAATTACCTAATTACCCTATAATTAACTTCTTAACTAAACAAATATAATCACCGAAACCAAATAATTACGCAAACGAAACGCATTTTGTACACGGATATAATCAAAGAACCAGAGTAACTGATTTAACCCAACAGATTTCTAAACTGAAAGAACCGAAAACCGATGGGAAAGAAAGATCCTCGAATGGCAGGCTTGTACCGGTAGGTGAAGTGCAGGGCGGTCACCAACTAGTGCGACATTCTAGTAGGACATGCAGGAAGTCGATGGATGCATTTGGCTCAGGACCGAGCTTTGTAGCATTCCCTAGGAGAAGTCTATATTCAACAATGGATTTGTAAAGGGCTGCAATGATGACCATGATGATATGGGTGTACGTGGTAGTGCCACACTGCAGCTATATTATTGCAGCACGAATGGGTCGGCCCGGCCGGGGTAGGACCACGGTCTCACAGAATACCAGCGTAAAATAGCAACTTAATGTTGCTGTGTTTCGTATGGTAAGTGTAGAGTAAGAGTACCGGAGACACCATTTACTGGAAACGAGGTATTACATCTCAGTCCTCAGGGGTGACAGCACACCTGCATTTTGATTCTTAATCGGGGATAGAATTAGATGTCTATGGGCTACAGCATCCACTTACCTTCAGGTAGACTGTGTGCTCGTTGGTCACCAGCTCTTTGTCTACAAAAAAGGTATGTATGTGTGGGTACCTTCTCGTGCAGCAGGTCAAGTGCCAGCTGCAGGCCAACAGCGCGCATGTCGTGCCGCTGCAGCGCACTGGTGATGTACATGTGCATCTCCAGGAACCGCTGCTCGCCCAGCTCCGCCTGCTCCATCTCCAGCTGCGACAGCAGCGACACAAACCATTCGAATGACCGCTGCTCCCGGTTTATCCAGAAAAAGTCCACCTGTAGGTGACACGGACAATATACAGGATGTGCAGTATTATCTAAAACCTTGAAGTAGGTCATTGTAGATGACCTATGTTACGTCACGGTTAAGTAATGGCTATTTAGAAAAAAAGTACAAAAAATGTTATTTATCAAGAGTAGATTTTTTTTTCAAAACAATTTTTTTACCTTATTTACATTCTTGTATATTACGACCACAAACTACTGAGTAATTTGTGGTCGTAATATACAAGAGTATTTCTAACAAAAGGAATATACAGGTTGAATATTTTTTTCTAAAAAAAAAAACAACTTGTATAATTGTTTTAGTAAAAAAGCTAAAATATTTATTAAATTGTCCAGTGACAATCCCGTAAGCGGATTGTAGGTCAAACCACCCACTAGATGAAACTATCTGTATACATGCAAGTGACTCTGGACTGTGCTTGATGGCACTTCTTGGAGGAGGCCTATGTTTAGCAGTTAACATGCGAAGATTATGATGATAATTTTAGGAGTTGCGAATTTGAAGTGATAATTTCTTTAGGCACGTTGGATGATTTTTAGATGGGTAAAGTCTTAATGAGTTCGTGTCACCAACCTGTGATAGTAGTAGAATATCTATAGCTATAAGTATGATGTGTTGCGCTTTGACAGCAGTGAAAGTACAGATTATCAACCATATTAACTACATAAACTTTGATAGTCAAGCAGTACTGCTAGCGCTGAGACCAAACTTAGTGAAGTCGAAGATAGTTGCGAGAATGCGTGAACCGAACGGCCTGGGGTGTAACAACAGGGTTGTTTTGAGATGGGTTCCGGGCCATGTGGGTATTGTAGGCAATGGAATTGTCGTCAAACGCGCACGGAAGGCATCAAAGAGTACACAATATATATATATCCCTCCCCTATTCCTCTATATCCTACAGTCATATCGGCCAGAAAAATCCACTGACGAAAGTAAATTCAATAGGCCTCATATTTCATATTAAACGTACTTAGTCGGGTCATAAGTTCCGTCAAAATCTTATTACTTAAAAGATTTGAATACCGGCTAGATGAACTTCACCAATTTTAAAAATATTACGTTTGCGCTAGCCGAAAATAAAAATTACATTAATTTTCATTCATTTTCAAATATAGAGTGGTCGAAGAAAGAAGATAGAGTAGCGGTTATCGCGTTGCACCGCTGTGATTACGCGCCAACAGAGATTTTTAATATTCTACGATTTGTAACCCTACGATTTGTTTATCGCACTATCAAACGATTCACTGAAGATTCAAGCTTCGAAGATCGTAAGAAGACCGGCCGACCTCGTACAGTTATGAAAAATGATAAGGTATGCCCACATATGAAGAAGCCAGCACGCATATTCCAAAGGTTCAACGAGCACATTATCCTTCGTCACTCGTGGTTTGGCTTGGAGTCTCATGTTCAGGCTTAACTGAGGTGTTTTTCTTTGAAAAAGGTGTAAAAACCAGTGCCGAGGCGTATCAAAATACCGTCTTAACAAACATATCGTGTGCTCACTAAGGCCGTACATCTTGAATTGGTATCAGAGCTCTCCTCATTAGCATTCCTCGCAGCACTCAGCCGAACGACAGCACGCCGCGGAGCCCCGCGTGACCTGTATAGCAACAACGGGACCAACTGCGGCGGCGCTAACCAACACTTACAGCAGAAATTCATCAATCTTCGACAAACCTTGGACGATGTTTTCTTCTCAGCATTTTCAGACATGAAGATCGAATACCACTTCAACGCCCCCTCGTGGCCGATTGCAGGAGGTCTATGGTAAGCCTATTATATTGTATTACAATATATATATATATATATATATATATATATATATATATATATATATATATATATATATATATATATATATATATATATATATGCAGTGCCCAATGATTGGCATTGCATCACGTGCCCACTGGACCAAGTTCCGATTATACGATAAAAATCTTATAATCGAATACGGTTCATTTTTGTACTTTCTAAAAAAAGATTCGGCACCGGGACAGGTACTGGGAGTTTATACGTGGTAGAGCCACGCTGCAGCTATTTTATGGTTGTAGCACATTCAAGAGCGGGGTAGGACCACGCTCTCGCAGAATATAAGCGTAGAATAGACATAATATAACAAAACGAGGCATTCTGTCTCAGTCCTCAGGAGTAACAACGCATCCGCATTTTGATTCTTAGTTACGGACAAAAGTAGATGTCTATGGGCCACAGCATTCACTTACCATCAGGTGAACGATTACGTCACCTTTTTTCCATAAAAAAGATGGCAGGATAATATACAGGTTGTTAGGTAATGAGAGCTATTAATATCACGCCCACCGGAGCTACTACTTCACACTTATTCTATAAAAAGGGTGGCAGGATAATATACAGTATGTTAGGTAATGAGAGCTAAATACATCACGCCCACCGGAGCTACTACTTCACCCCTATTCTATAAAAAGGGTGGCAGGATAATATACAGTATGTTAGGTAATGAGAGCTAATAACATCACGCCCACCGGAGCTACTACTTCACCCTTATTCTATAAAAAGGGTGGCAGGATAATATACAGTATGTTAGGTAATGAGAGCTAATAACATCACGCCCACAGCTACTACTTCACCCTTATTCTATAAAAAAAGGTGGCAGGATAATATACAGTATGTTAGATAATGAGAGCTAATAACATCACGCCCACCGGAGCTACTACTTCACCCTTATTCTATAAAAAAGGTGGCAGGATAATATACAGGATGTTAGGTAATGACAGCTAATAACATCACGCCCACCGCAGCTACTACTTCACCCTTATTCTATAAAAAAGGTGGCAGGATAATATACAGTATGTTAGATAATGAGAGCTAATAACATCACGCCCACCGCAGCTACTACTTCACCCTTATTCTATAAAAAGGGTGGCAGGATAATATACAGTATGTTAGATAATGAGAGCTAATTACATCACGCCCACCGGAGCTACTACTTCACCCTTATTCTATAAAAAGGGTGGCAGGATAATATACAGTATGTTAGGTAATGAGAGCTAATAACATCACGCCCACCGGAGCTACTACTTCACCCTTATTCTATAAAAAGGGTGGCAGGATAATATACAGTATGTTAGGTAATGAGAGCTAATAACATCACGCCCACTGGAGCTACTACTTCACCCTTATTCTATAAAAAAAGGTGACAGGATAATATACAGTATGTTAGATAATGAGAGCTAAATACATCACGCCCACCGGAGCTACTACTTCACCCTTATTCTATAAAAAGGGTGGCAGGATAATATACAGTATGTTAGGTAATGAGAGCTAATAACACCACGCCCACCGCAGCTACAACTTCACCCTTATTCTATAAAAATGGTGGCAGGATAATATACAGTATGTTAGGTAATGAGAGCTAATAACATCACGCCCACCGGAGCTACTATTTCACCCTTATTCTATAAAAAGGGTGGCAGGATAATATACAGTATGTTAGGTAATGAGAGCTAATAACATCACGCCCACCGCAGCTACTACTTCACCCTTATTCTATAAAAAAAGGTGGCAGGATAATATACAGTATGTTAGGTAATGAGAGCTAATAACATCACGCCCACCGGAGCTACTACTTCACCCTTATTCTATAAAAAGGGTGGCAGGATAATATACAGTATGTTAGGTAATGAGAGCTAATAACATCACGCCCACCGGAGCTACTACTTCACCCTTATTCTATAAAAAGGGTGGCAGGATAATATACAGTATGTTAGGTAATGAGAGCTAATAACATCACGCCCACCGGAGCTACTACTTCACCCTTATTCTATAAAAAGGGTGGCAGGATAATATACAGTATGTTAGGTAATGAGAGCTAATAACATCACGCCCACCGGAGCTACTACTTCACCCTTATTCTATAAAAAGGGTGGCAGGATAATATACAGTATGTTAGGTAATGAGAGCTAATAACATCACGCCCACCGGAGCTACTACTTTCACCCTTATTCTATAAAAAGGGTGGCAGGATAATATACAGTATGTTAGATAATGAGAGCTAATAACATCACGCCCACCGGAGCTACTACTTCACCCTTATTCTATAAAAAAGGTGGCAGGATAATATACAGTATGTTAGGTAATGAGAGCTAATAACATCACGCCCACCGGAGCTACTACTTCACCCTTATTCTATAAAAAGGGTGGCAGGATAATATACAGGATGTTAGGTAATGAGAGCTAATAACATCACGCCCACCGGAGCTACTACTTCACCCTTATTCTATAAAAAAGGGTGGCAGGATAATATACAGGTATGTTAGGTAATGAGAGCTAATAACATCACGCCCACCGGAGCTACTACTTCACCCTTATTCTATAAAAAGGGTGGCAGGATAATATACAGTATGTTAGGTAATGAGAGCTAATAACACTACGCCCACCGGAGCTACTATTTCACCCTTATTCTATAAAAAAAAAGGGTGGCAGGATAATACATGCAGTATGTTAGATAATGAGAGCTAATAACACCACGCCCACCGGAGCTACTACTTCACCCTTATTCTATAAAAAAGGTGGCAGGATAATATACAGGTTGTTAAGTAATGAGAGCTAATAATAATACGCCCGCCAGAGCTACTACTTATGCCAGATAGTTGGGACTGAGGTGAACTTAGATGTTATGCAGATGATCGCAGTGTCATCATTATTGAGAAGTTGCCATTTAATTACAGGTGTTTTTTGGTTTCTTGAGTATGTACTTGTATATTGACAAAACAATGTTTATTTATTTTTTATTTATTTATTTTTACAAAATATAGTTATTAAATAACATCCGACAGTACAAATAAACTTACAAAAGTTTTTCCATGTACCGCCGATTCGTAACTTCGACCATGTTCAATCGGTTCGCGTAGCGACAACTTACATAATACATGGTGTGACAATATTTTGACAATATTTTTTTTAACTATATGTGTACCACAGGAAAGGACAGTTACTGAGTGTGATAAATAATATTAATATAATAAAAATAATTTGATTGCTGTATTTTTTAATTTTAACACATATTTAAACCTATTTTTAAAATTTTTCTATATTTAGGAGTAGCTTGCTACCATATCTATAATTAAAAAACGTATTATATATCTTGTTGGAGATTCATACAAATTATTGCTTTTTTTTGAATAGATATATAATTTGGCTGCAGCGTGGCTTTACCACGTACAATATATGCCGTATAGATCTTATAAGTGCCATGTTGAGATGCGATGCAGAGGGAAACAAATGAGAAGATATGCAGCAAGGTCTTCCTAATACGACTAAAATAAAATAAAATCGGTTTCCAACCCACTTGCAAAGCGTGGCAACGAACGAAAGGACTATGTCAACGGTGAACTGTAATAGGCTATAATGTTAGCGGTAACGGTACGTGTAGCACGTATAATATGGCTAGGAGCTTACCTTGTTGAGGGCCATGTGGCGGTGCGGCAGCGGCACCGGGCAGGAGTGTCCGCAGCGCGGACACGGCGTGCGCGCGGCGCGGTGCCGTCGCATCACGCTCTGCAGAATGGACGCGAATGGCGTCACGCCGATCCCGGCCGCGATCAGCACCGCGTGCTGCGCGCGGAAGATGTGAGACGATGCCGCGCCGTACGGACCATCCAGGTAGATCTACAAGTCATCACTACATTTTATAACCTAGTAACTGTGCCAGCGCTGGTAGCTCACAGACTTAACGCTTGCTGTTAATATCCGAATTCGAACCCCGCAGGCACCTATGAAATTGTTAGTAAACATTTCACGTGCACTCCGGTGAAGAAAAACATCGTGAATAAACCTACATGTCTTAACAATAAAAAAATATTTCAAAGACATGTACTGTCCACCAACACGCATTGGGACAGCGTGACGGACGTGTACTAGTCCTGAAAACCTTCTCAGAAGTTGTTTTCTTTTTTTTTTAAGATAAGGATGACAAACGAGCACACAGTCCACCTGATGGAAATAGATGCTGTGGACCATAGACATCTACATTTAACCTCGATTAAGAATCAAAATACAGATGCGTTGTCACCCCTGAGGACTAAGATGGAATGCCTCGATTTTAGTAAAACAGGTGTCCGGTTCTATACACTCACCTTACGAAACACAGCAGCATTAAGCTGCTATTTTACGCTGGTATTCTGTGAGAGCGTGGTCCTTCCCCGGTCGAGCCGACCCATTCATGTGACAACCATAATAGCTACAGCCTGGCTCTACCATGTAAAAAAGTAAGAGGAAGCCTGTGCCCAGGAGTAGAACGTAGTAGTCTGTAACTTTTTTTAACTGTGCCAGATATAGATATAATATAGTATTGTTTGGCGATGGAATGACTAAGGCGAGACCAAAATCAAAATATACCAGGCTGCGTGTAATGTGGTGACAAATAGTACTGTACCATGCATGGCCTGTCTCAACTTCACTTATATATACCGATTGCAGTATATTCGTGTCTTCTGATATGGCGCAGATGATTTAAGTGAATATTTGTACCCAACTACAGTGAAACCAAGAAGATAGGGTTACAATTTTAGAAGGCCATGTTCATTTGTTTCCTCAAATCTTCTAAACTACTCATCTTATATTATATTATATTAAATTTAAATACATTTCTTTTAGTTTATTTTAGATTTTTTTAAGCTGCATGAAGTCACATAAAAACTAATATGAAGGCTTATTGAGGAATGGAACAGTTTTTTATTCTTAATAAAAGTAGTTTTTTTAACGTCGGGGTTTGCAGACGCAGCGAAGATCCTGTTCTTCAGACCGAATTTTCAGTCACGTTGGCCAGTCTCTACGGAGACTAGTCGTCAGCGCAGGACAGGATTATAATGCCCAAGGGTATGCACAAGCACAGGTGCACTTTCTATTCCGTCACACTCATAGTCCGATGCGACGGCAATCCGACACGACCGGTTAAAGATCAGACACAGTATGTACGGTTTAATGTGCTCTCCGAGGCACAGGGGTGAAACACCGTTAAATTTCTGACTTCAGGCTGCCACTGAGAATTTCTTGACAGAAAAACCCTATAACTGATTTCTAACCCGACCCGAGATTCGAACCCGTGACCTCGTGTCCAAAATCTGCATTTACGACTATAAGACAACGAGACAATTTGCAAAAAATATATAAATTGCATTTAGACGAATATCTAGATTTAGAACAATTATATGCAAGTCATACAAACAGTGAGAGATTCAAACCCGCGACCTGCAGAGCCTCAGCAAATCGTTTAGACACGCCACTAGCGAGTCGTCCATACGTAATGACATATATAAGTAGTATTAGGAACAAAACTAAATCTGGTTTTATTACAAATAGTGATATACATAGATAGAAGATAGAACATACATAGGTAGAAGCACAAATTAGTTATACCAGTTCCTCGACTCCAAGGAGTCAGTACCTAATTCCTTCATGTACGCTTTTATAGAAAAGTTCAAAATGTTTATTTAGTAAAATTGTTTAGTAAAGGTTAATATATAATAAATAGTACATGATTGATAATAATCTCTGAGAATGAGATCGATACCATGCTGTTTCTAAACGTTTTCTTACATTATTGTATAAAATATAATATTTTATATTATGCCGCATATACACATTTATATTTTATATTATGCCGCAGCATAAGCTTTACCTGCGGTAAAGCTTATGCTGCGGCAAGCGGTAAAATAAAATAATTGTAAAACCGATTTCAATATAAATAAAAGGAGAACATAATCAATTTTGTCGGAGTCAATTAAATACGCATTATTAAAGATAATTCAAAATGGTCACATTTTCATTAAATTTACCTGGGACCACATAAAAAGCACCAGTTTTCAAATAAAAAAAAGAATCATCAAAATCGGTTCACCTGGAAAAAAAGTTCTGATAAAAAACACAGTCGAATTGAAAAACCTCCTTTTCTGAAGTCGGTTGAAAAGTATATTACCTCCAATGGTTTTCCAATAGGATAGTCGTCCATATTGTCATCGTTAGTACATTCCGATGTGACGACGTTTGCGTTTACTGTCTCATTTTGTGCTTCCGTATCCTTATCTGGTGACAGACTCTTGGAAAGACGTCTTCTTGCTGAAATAATTATAATTTGAATGACATGGAGAGAAAAATGTATTGTTGACAGGTTGTGAAGTCTGTATTTAGCGGAATTAGTAATATCGGTTTTCGTTAACTATATAAGTGTCCGTGATTTAGCACACAATAAGTGTTTCAAAACACTTTTTGGTTTTGATGTCTCAATCAAAAAGTTCATTTTAAATAAGTTAAATTTACAACAACCTGTACAATATCAAAAAATCACATTTAGCACAGTTTATTAACACTACCGACCTTCGAGTTATCTACATCATGTGTAAAAATTAGTGGTTAAACTTCTAAATTTAATGATGGATTTTTTGTTTAAGAACCACTATTAGCACAGGATAAATAATAGGTATTAGTTAGTAGTATTATTTATTGTTTGGTACCTGACGCCATTTTCATTCTTTTGCTTAGTTGCAATGTAGAGAATTCATTACACCATAACGTCTTGTTGGTGTCGTCAGAGGCTATGAGTTATGTCAGAAATGTATTCCTTTTTCGAAACGTAGCATGACAAGCATCCCCTTTACGCCATAGGTAACAATATCCAGATCAGTGATTGAAATCATCAAAGGTGCACGTTTTCAGAGCAAACAATTTACAAAAAAAATATTAAGTGTTCCTTCTTTTTCACGTTATACAGCCAGTAACAGTCCACGGCTGTACAAATAAAGTTGCCTCTTCTGTTGAATGCTCAATTTGAGGCTGGAATTGACACATTTAACGATCATCATTGATATGACGGTCGTAATACCAGATGTCTTGTGTGTTTGACAATGCTCTTTGTCATGTATTTATTAACCGTTACAGCCCAGTAGTCCACTGCTGAACACAGGCCCCTCCCATACGTTGCTCATTGGGGGATTTTGCAATAGTTGGACGCTGCTGCCCATCTCCTGCTGCGCATCCACGCTGTGATATGGTTTCTTTTATAGAGTAAGGGTGACAAACGAGCATACAGCCTGCTTGATGGTAAGTGTATACTGTGGCCCATAGACATTTACATCAATCCAGGATTAAAAATTTAAATGCAGATGCGTTGTTACTCCTGAGGACTAAAATGGAATACCTCGTATCCAGTTAAAAGAGTTCAACAAGTACCTTATGGTTGTAGCACAAGTGGGTCAGCTCGACCGGGTTAGGACCATGCTCTCACAGAATGCCAGAGTGTAATAGCAGCTCAATGCAGCTATGTTTCGTAAGGTGAGTGTAGAGACCCGGAGACGCTATTTACTGGATACAAGGCATTCCATCTTAGTCATTAGGGGTGACAACGCATTTGCATATGATTCTTATTCGAGGATAGATGTAGGATGATGTATGTCTATGGGCCACAGCATCGACTTACCATCAAGTAGACTGTGTGCTCATTTATCACCCTTAGCCTTTAAAAAAGATAAAGAAAATTGGTTTCTTGATGGTTTGCATAATTGTTATATTATTTTGGGGATGTTTGTATTTACATAACTGTGTTCTATAATTTTAAAATGCAAGTGTCAGTAAAAGCGCAATTATGTACCAATAGTGAGTATACTGTCGTGGGAGCGCCTACGCTCGCAGTCGTCGAAGCTGGGCGTCTTGAAGGCGATGATCGGCGGCTTGTTGCGCATGTAGCGGAAGCTGTGCGCAAGAGCTTTGTGGTGCGGCGAGCGAGCCACCGAGCAACGTGTTGCGTCCCTGGAGAGGCCCAGCTCAGATTCCGATCGGGTGTACTCGCGCAGCCTGCAAATTGTCGCGATTATGTTCAACAAGATCACGGTAAAAAAAATTAAGATGATTAATAGAATCAGGCGTTACTTTGCGGAAATCTATTATAAAAGTTGTTAAAAACTTATACAGTAAAAATACCCCACTCTTCCTAAATATTTCGCGTAATTAATTTAATATTATATAAGTTAAATTAAGGCCAAGTGGTACTAGTTATTCAACAATAGTATTTTAAACATGATTTTGTCGCCGAGACTTGATATCCGTTATATTCAGTATATAATTGATATACGGATACTAATACGGATAATGTGTGTTTTTATATACAAAATATTTTTTGTATGTGTGTATTTTATGTTTATTGTATTTACACTGGATGACCTTATTACCGTCTGCAAAAAATAGGGTGTAACATGTGAAAGGAGTAGAAGCCTATGGCACTGATATTTAACAAAAAGTAAAAACAAATTCAAATAATCCACCCTAACCTACGACGAAGGGGTTCTTTTTAGCGGTAAACGCGCAAACTTGTGTCTTTTGGGGATTGAACTGGACCAGATTTAGTCACCCTCAGTCCGAGACTTTGTTCAACAACTATCTATACACGAACACTTTCCACAACTTGGAAATTTTATTTTATACACGAACTCCTTCCATGACTTAGACAATTTTTAAGAAATTTTTTAATTATCTTATAAATGTTATTTATCTTTATTTTATAATATATTTTCGACTTGTATTTCTATTATTTATCATATTTTAAATATTTTTCCATAATATTGGGCCGTCACATTATCAAAACATCATATCAAAAGATTTTTTTAAAATAACTTGATGGTAACATGTCTATTTATATGATATTGATATGTACGAGTAATAAATCGCAAACACCTTATAAATTATCACGGTATTTATTATTGTAAAAAGACATTTTATAAGTCATTTCTTAAAAATAACACAGCAAACAGGTACAGTGCGAGCTCTTTGTTTATTAAATAAATTATTCATTTATTAGCAAATAAATCCCAATACAGAGTGTCTCAGAATGAATGGATAATCCTGGAGCGCCTTATACATAGTACAGGTATCAGGCGAACAAATAAAAATACAAAAAATATATTCCAATTGGTGCCAAAAATGTGAAGATTTAAAAAAAATTATTGATATTACTGTACTTTCATGTACACCACTGCCGCAAATGAAATTCGTTGCGTTTTTGGTGTTCTCCTATTCCTCACAGACTATTCTATTAAAGAGTAATCTGTTGAACATTTTTGCAAAAAAAAAAACTTTAATTTTTAGCATTAAATTTTATAAAAAATAAGTTTGATAAAAGTTAAGTCAGTCAGTTTTCATTTTAAACGTCACGAATTAAATGAATACATAAATGTGACACATTAATATTTATCTAACGTGCGTGATATAATCCTTAGGTTAAATATTTTTGCATCAAATAAAAATTAACATATGAACCCACTTGTAAGCAGAAAAACTACTTAAATTAGGTACTTGATATAAGAACTGTTTCAAATATGAAGTAGGAACATTTTTACACTTTAACACGAACACAGTTTATATCAATATAAAAAAAAACAGTTTATACCATATTATATTTTTACTACCAAATAGTTTGAAAATGCACTTTATTCTTTAAGTCAATGCAACGAAGTATACCAGTAAGTTGGCAAATATAAACAGGAAAGTCAATACAGTGTTTAAAATTATAAAAAAAATCTATCAACATCTATTTTATCTTTTAAACATCTATCATCGTAATATAACGAAAGCTTAAGCGAAGGTATGAATTTGTTAATTATATGAAGGGATTTTTTATAAGTATTTTTAAAAACTTAAAATAATTTATTAAATAAAATTATTAATAATTTCTTCTCTTCAATATTCTACATAATCCTAATATACTCCGCTATATCTAAAAAATCGCTTTACTTTAGTTTAACCTCCAGATGTTCCATGTAGATCAAATACTAGAACACTGTTAAGATTTCCGTCTTTCAATACAATGCTCTATTCACATTCTTTTACTGTTAATGCAGTACGATTGTGGAATTCACTTCTCTTTATGATTCGTGACGCTAAGTCGATGTCTAGATGTTTAAAAGACTTGTTAAAGAGCACTATCATTCATATCATAATTATTAATCCGTGATGTGTAGATATTCATATATGTAACATTAAAAATATAATATATTAAATTATATTTTTTTGTTATAATATATTATATTTGAGTATATATATATATATATATATATATATATATATATATATATATATATATATATATATATCTGTCCGACACCGTCCGTAAATTCATACATAATACATATACATAAACACTCACGCCTGTCACCCAGAGGGGTAAGCAGAGACTACAGACTTCCATTTGGCACGATCCTGACACACCTCTCTTGCCTCCTTCACATCCATACACCTACGCATACTTGCTCGTCGGTTAAGTACTCCTAATTTGGCCCGTTTTCAATAAATCGCCAATTTGGTCTATAAATTTTCGCCTAGGACGTCCCTTTCCGACTCTGCCATTCACTTCTGCATCATAAATTTTCTTGGTCACTCTTTCCTCATTCATTCTTTCCAGATGACCAAACCACCGAAGCATTCCTTTCTTAATCCTGGTCACAACATCATCTTGCAAACCACACTCTTCTCTTATTACACAATTTCTTACCCTGTCATTCAGATTCAGCCCTAACATACTCCTTAACGACCGCATTTCTACTGCGTTTATTCTACTCTCGTGCTTCTTCTGCCACACCCAACTTTCACTACCATACGTTAAAGTAGGGACCAACACAGCATTGTGAATTGCCTTACGTGCCTTTTTCGACACATTTTGACTCTTCACAATAGGGTGCAAGGCCCCATTTACTCTATTTCCCGCATTCACTCGTCGTTCTATATCCTTATCATATCTCCCATCCCTGCTAAATACGCAGCCCAAATATACAAACTCATCTACTTGCTCGATCAACTCCCCTTCTATTCTTATTTCACAAATCGTTTTACTTTCTTCTCTTTCAAAAACCATAACCTTCGTCTTACTTGCGTTCACTTTCATACCCCTTTCTTTTAATGATCCGTTCATTAATGTAACCATCATTTGCAACTCGGCCGCCGACGACGCAAGAATAACTTGATCATCGGCGTACAAAAGGCATTTGACGGTTAACTCACCCATTCAGCCCATTCTTAATCCGCATTCTTCAACTTTCAAATTTTGCAAACAACTGTCCATAAATAGGTTGAACAGTCACGGGGAAGCCACACAGCCCTGTCTGACACCTTTATGGATGTCAAACCAGTCCGAGTAGACCCCGTTGATCCTAACACAAGCACTAGAGTCCCTATAAAGAGACTCCAATGCCTGTATAGCAAATCCCTATCCACTCTGTCATAGGCCTTTTCCAAGTCCCATAGGATGCATCATCCGAGATCGTCGGTAATGAGGCTGTACTTGCCGCGGAAGCACGGTGGTCGTGGCTTCTTGAGCGCGCTCACCATGCATAATCGCGAAGTGTGCAGCCTCCGTGATTACTTCCTGGCGAGATCGGATGATCCATTCTATAAGGACTTCATTTCTTGTGATAAAGGACTTACCCCTCTATCCTTAGCCAACGAGCAATGGCAAGACCCAACAGTGCAGAGCATTTCCGACCGGGAGACCGTATGGAAGGAGAAGGAGCTCCACGGGAGGTTCTACAAGGCTCTACATGAGCCTTTCGTGGACACAGTAGCCTCCCTCAACTGGCTACGCTTTGGCGATCTCTTCGGGGAAACCGAGGGTTTTGTCTGTGCAATACAGGATTAGGTTATTAAGACCAACAACTATCGGAGATACATCCTAAAGGATGGCACCGTCGACATCTGTCGAGCTTGTCGCCATCCCGGTGAGTCACTTAGGCATGTCATCTCCGGTTGTTCGGCGCTTTCTAACTCTGAGTACTTGCACAGGCACAACCTAGTAGCCAGAATTCTTCACCAGGAGCTCGCTCTGAAATACGGTCTCGTGGATCGGAAATTGCCGTATTACAAGTACTTACCGGAAGCCGTGCTCAAAAATGATCGCGCCAGGCTCTATTGGGACCGGGCCATCATCACAGACAGGACTATTCTTGCGAATAAGCCTGATATTGTGCTGATGGACCGGGCACAGTCAAGGATATTTTTGGTCGACATTACCATTCCGTATGACGAGAACCTCGTGAAAGCCGAAACAGATAAGCAAACAAAATATCTGGACCTGGCTCACGAGGTGACCGACATGTGGGGTGGTCTACCGACCGAAATTATTCCTGTAGTCGTCTCTGCGAACGGGCTAATCCCAGTCAGCCTCTCGGGTCATCTGCGGCTGGGACTACGTGGCGGACCGCTCCAGGCTCAAATACAGAAGGCGGTGCTCCTCGATACCGCCCGCATCGTCCGCCGGTTTCTTTCCCTTTCCCCCTAACCCTCGGCCGTTTGGTCTCCCCTGCCGAAGGCCTCCATCTGGTTGGGCTTTTATTTATTTATTTATTTTTATATTTAGTTTATGTTATTGATATTTATGTATATTTATCTTTTCATTTTCATTTATAATTATATATTTATAGAACCCAACCAGATGAGAAAACTATGTTGATACCCCATAATAATAATAATAATAATAGGCGTAGGCGACCCCATCGCCTGCTGACGTAACAGTTATGTGACAAAACTACTACGTCGGCGCAGTCAGTCAGCGCCCTGCCAAAAGGTGTGAGCGCCGTGCCTAGGCAAAATTGTGGGTGCAAAGGTCCGTTTGTGCATATAACCGAACCACGAAACGGTGCCGGGCTTGGGCGTCTCCCGTTATTTGGCGCCCATAAATGGATGATGGTACAAAGAGGAACGCGCATAGGGCCGCTGCCTGGGGGTCGCCGGGGCGCGTCTGGAGCTGGCGCTGGACGCGGCAGCATGCGGGCCGCTAGCCGTGCGCGAGGAGATGTACAATCACCTAGTAGCCCTCCGCATCCATCATCCCCACCAGAAGGCTTGGTGTCGGCTGGGTCTTCTCGGACTCAGCAAGCGGCACCCGCCGCTGGTGGAGCACGTCGCATGCGTTGGTCACAAACAATGAACGCAAACGCACTGCGGGCGTACTTTAGGTCAAAAGGGGAAGAAACCGGATGTTTGGCATATCGGGCTCGGATGCATCGCTTTTTTGCAGAGCTGGAGCCATCTCTATCTGTCACTGAGCAAAACCTGGCAGACCGAGTTCGGTACATCCTGCGCTCCAACATATTTGGTGACGCCGAACTCGAACGACTACGACGTGAGGCTGTTCCCTCATCGGATGAAAATGCTACGGCTGGGAATGCGGCGCCACTAATTGCGCAGCAAACTGCAAATGTGGACGCTGCCGTCAATATTCCATTTGTGGTGGATTCAGACGATGATGAAATAGTCCCCCACGAACTAGAGAAAATGAGGAGCATATTGGAAGAGTCGATGTTGGAAACGCGCAGCATGCCTCTTGAAAATCGACCGCGCCTTCCCCGCATACCCCTTAGCAAGCGAAATCGGGCTGTCGTGCGGGCTCTTAACCCAATGCTGGTGACCTATTTGGAAGCCAGCCGGGACCTTTGCGAGACGGACTCAATTATTCTTGGCGCCGCACTGGCAGTATGCCGTATTATTGGCGCCAAACTTCCCATGGCTGAACGTGCTACTCAACAAGGTAGTGCCATCCCAGCCTGGAGAAAAAGAATCGAGGACCGTATCGCAAAGGCAAGGGCCCTATCGGCAGACTGACAAGCTTCAGGTCGGGTAATAATAGACCGAGAGTTGTGCGCACCATTAGAATGGCGTTTGCTGGGACAAATATTAGTTTGTCCCAGCCGGATATCACGCAGAAACTAACGGAGCGCATAGATGACCCGAAGCAAAAAATCGCTACTTGGGGGAAGCGGATTCGACGATTTAGCGAGAGGTCAAGGCGGTTCAACCAGAATCGTCTCTTCCAGAGTGATCAGAAGAGGCTCTATAAATCATTGGAGCGACCAGAGGTATGTGGAGCGGGCCCAGGACCGGATTAGGCTGACACTGTCGCATTTTGGCGTGGCCTGTGGTCAGAGCCCGTAAACCACAGCGAGGGCCCTTGGATGGAAGTTGTGGCGAGCCAGAGTGCAAGTGTTACGCCTATGGACCCCGTCACCATAACGCCTGAAGACGTGGCTGAGGCGGTCCGTAGGGCGCCGAACTGGAAAAGTCCGGGGCTCGACGGGCTCCATCATTACTGGCTGAAAGGGTTCGTAGTGTGTCACGCTGTGCTCGCCTGACAGTATCAAGAGGCTCTCGATCAGAAGTCGCTCCCGAGCCTCTTCACTACTGGGATCACTCACTTGGTTCTTAAAGATCAGGATACCACAGACCTGAGGAAATACCGCCCCATCACGTGTCTACCCACTATATATAAGACACTGACATCCATTTTGAGCGCGAGAATCACTCGTCACCTGGAGCTAAATCAGGTGATGTCACGCGCTCAAAATGGATGTCGGGGCGGTGGTCGTGGAACCAAGGAACCACTCCTCATTGACGCGGTCATTGGCAAAGTGGTGAAACGCAACCGTCGGAACTTCTCCGCCGCCTGGATAGACTACAGAAAAGCATTCGACTCGGTGCCCCATACATGGCTAAAGAGGGTCCTCGAGCTGTACAAGATTGACTGTACAGTTAGAGACTTCCTCGAGCAGTGTATGGGGCAGTGGAGTACGATCCTTTGTCATCTGGGCGAGCGGATGATGGCTGCGGAGAACCACATAAGGATAAGAAGGGGTATCTTCCAGGGCGATTGTCTGAGTCCAATCTGGTTCTGCCTCTCTCTAACCCTCCTCTTACTAGGGGCTCCGGGAGAGGATTTCAGCTACGGAAGGGAGGAACAAAAGTGACCCACCTTTTCTATATGGATGACCTCAAGTTATTCGCCTCCAGTCGCTCCCATCTAAACATCACTTGTGAATTTAGCAATTCTATTGGAATGGAGCTGGGTACGGATAAGTGTGTGGTCCTTCATGTTGAAGGGGGAAGGGTTGCTAACTCTGAGGGCATAGATTTATCTATGCCCGTCAACTTAAAGACCCTTTCCGAGGCTGAAACATACCGATACCTGGGTATGTCACAGAACATCGGTATCGATGAGGCTGGTATGAAACAGTCAGTTTGCGATGTGTTTTATGCACGCTTGACCAAAGTGCTTAACAGCCTTTTGTCCTGTGTGAATAAGACACACGCATATAACGGTTGGATCATACCTGTTCTCATATATACTCGTACCTTTGGCATACTCAGGTGGACTCAGACCGAACTTAACGCCCTGGATAGAAAAATCCGCACTACCATGACGTCCCATAGGATGCATCATCCGAGATCGTCGATAATGAGGCTGTACTTGCCGCGAAAGCATGGTGGGCGCGGTTTTCTGAGCGCGCTCACCATGCATAATCGTGAAGTGTGCAGCCTCCTTGATTACTTCCCGGCGAGATCGGATGATCCATTCTATAATGACGTCATTCTAGTGATAAAGGGCTTACCCCTCTATCCTTAGCCCACGAGCAATGGCAGGACCCAGCAGTGCTTAGCATTTCCGACCGGGAGACCGTATGGAAGAAGGAGCTCCACGGGAGGTACTACAGGGCTCTTCATGAGCCCTTCATAGATACAGTCGCCTCCCTCAACTGGCTACGTTTCGGTGACCTCTTCGGGGAAACCGAGGGTTTTGTCTGTGCAATACAGGATCAGATTATTAAGACCAACAACTATCGGAGATACATCCTAAAGGATGGCACCGTCGACGTCTGTCGAGCTTGTCGCCATCCCGGTGAGTCACTTAGGCATGTCATCTCCGGTTGTTCGGCGCTTTCTAACTCTGAGTACTTGCACAGGCACAACCTAGTAGCCAGAAGTCTACACCAGGAGCTCGCTCTGAAATACGGTCTCGTGGACCGGAAATTGCCGTATTAAAGTACTTGCCGGAAGCCGTGCTCGAAAATGACCGCGCCAGGCTCTACTGGGACCGGGCCATCATCACAGACAGGACTATTCTTGCGAATAAGCCTGATATTGTGCTGATGGATCGGGCACAGTCAAGAATATTTTTAAGCGATATTACCATCCCGTATGATGAGAACCTCGTGAAAGCCGAAACAGACAAGCAATCAAAATATCTGGACCTGGCTCACGAGGTGACCGACATGTGGGGTGATCTGCCGACCGAAATTATTCCTGTAGTCGTCTCTGCGAATGGGCTAATCCCAATTAGCCTCTCTGGTCAGCTGAGGCGACTGGGACTCCGTGACGGACCGCTCCGGGCTCAAATGCAGAAGGCGGAGCTCCTCGATACTGCCCGCATCGTCCGCCGGTTTCTTTCCCTTTCCCCCTAACCCTCGGCCGTTTGGTCTCCCCTGCCGAGGGCTTCCATCTGGTTGGGCTTTTATTTATTTATGTATTTTCGTATTTATTTTATTTTATTGATATTTATGTATATTTGTCTTTTCATTTTCATTTATAATTACATATTTATACATCCTAACCAGTTGAGAAAACTATATAAATACCCCACATAATAATAATAATTTATTAGTAATCATTTTGGCACCAATATTAAGCATATTACCAATATTAAGCATATTAAGCATATTTCAAGTTTTCAAGCTACTGGACTGGAAAGGATACGGTATTAACATCAATGGCGAGTAGGTACATCACTCAACACAAGTTGTTGACGAGTACGTTTACCTGGGACAAATAGTCCGACTAGGTAAGTCCAACTTCGACCGAGAGGTCAATCGATGGATTCAACTCGGCTGGGCAGCGTTCGGGAAATTACGACATATCTTCTCGTCAAGTATACCTCTATCTCTAAAAACTAGATTGTACAACCAGTGCGTGTTGCCAGTGATGACTTACGGATCTAAGACGTGGTCCTTCACGGCTGGCCGTATGAGGCTCAGCGAGCTATGGAGAGGGATATGCTCTGAGAGAGTTTCTCTGCGTGATAGACTTAAGAACAATTAATTAATGTATTATTTTTGTTAACATAACATAAACACTCACACCTGTCACCCAGAGGGGCAAGCAGAGACTAAAGACTTCCATTTGGCACGATTCTGACACACCTCGCCTCCTCCACATTCATATACCTACGCACACAGTCATGCTCGTCGATTAAGTGTACTCCTAATTTGGCCCATTTTCAATATATCGCCAATTAGGTCGATAAACTTTCGCCTAGGACATCCCTTTGCGACTTTCTATTCATTTCTGCAACATAAATTTTCTTTATCACTCTTTCCTCATTCAATCTTTCTACATGACCAAACCACCGAAGCATTTCTTTCTTAATCCTGGTCACAGCATCATCTTGCAAACTTGTGTGATAAAAGAAGAGTGTGGTTATTTTTGTTATGTTAAACTATTAAATAATTACAAATGAAAATAAAAGTATGAAATTATGCATGATTCAAATTATTATATAATGTTAAATACCGATTTAATTGATTGATCTCTTACGTTTTAATTTAATTTAATTCACTACATTTGTTAAGTTAACAAGTTAAATTAACACTTAGTATTTATAGTTTCTTGTAAAAATGTTATTCTTTTAGTACTTTATTAGTGTTGTTGGTGTTAAATGAATAAATAAATAAATAAGAAATAGATTGTAACATCAGTTATCTGCCGGTGAAAGTCCCGTGAAAATCGGTCCAGCCGTCCCAGAGATTAGCTGGAACAAACAGACACACAGACAATGTTCGGATCTGAGTCCTATGAGGTGGCAAAGCATCTGCATTTTGATCCTCAATTTAAGACAGATGTAAATGTCTAAGGGCCACACCACTCACTGATTATCAGGCGGACGAGAAACGAGTTTAAAACGAGCCTTTTAGTTTAAACGCCTTACTTGTCAAAGTCCAATATACAAAAAATTGGTTGACCCTGCAGGCTATCTCTGGAACTTCCCGCTAATTTCAAATGCAAAGCGCTCCAAATCTCACCAAATTATGACGTTGAATATGAAATATTACGGGGTAATTTAAAAAATCTTTTTCAAAATTTTTCGTTAACTATATCTCACGAACGAATCAACCGATTTTGACCGAAATAGTAACGATCAACGTGGTTTTTCAATGTTAAAAGCTGATTAGTTTTTGGAATCGATCGGTAAAGCCGTTTAAAAGTTATTCCAAAAAATCAGTTATTCAAATTTTTTATTTTTGACGTTTCTCAAAATCTACCAGTCTGAATTAGTTAAATTCGCTTAGTTCATTTCAATCAGTCAAGCCATTCAAAAGTTAACTTTTGAAAGAGCACAGAATAAATAATAGAGGTACACACACACACACACGACACGCACGCACGCACGCACGCAGCGCACGCACGCACGCACGCACGCACGCACGCACGAAAACGCACAAACACCACGCACGCACGCACGCACGCATGCACACACATACATACAGACATACAGACACCATCGAAAAATTATCAGAATGGCTTCCTGTGACGTCAAAACGTCAAGATTTGATGAAAACTCAATTTTCGATAAACGGGGTAAAAACAATAACTTCCCGATTTTTTTTAATTTTAAATTTTCTTTAAAAAACGAATAATCAATAAAGAGTTACTTACGTCTGCATTCGCTGTTTCTTTATGTTGTTGTGCATATCGGGCATAGAGCGGGACTTCTCCAGCAATCGGAGTGGAGAGAGGAGAAGTCTCGTTCGTGACATGCGCACTTGTGGTGAGAGTGC